GTCTTCTTGGCAGTTAAATCAAATGAATCGGATTGTTAGTCCCGGCACTTATTTTAATAACGGGGAACGACAGTTCACTCCTGTTCAGGTAAAGAAACAGATTTCTATTAGGGTCTTTGCTAGTAGTTCGCTAAATTCGTTTCTTTTGCAAAAAAGGCGGTTGTAGGTTGGTATGGCACCTGTGACGATGAATAGTGCTCTTCCAGTTAGTCAATTTCCTCAGCAGTATGTCCAGGGAGGACCGCAGCCTCCGCTCTTGGTAATTTGAGCAACTGCCGTTTTTCTGTTGTAACAGTAACGGATGCCTTCTTTATATTTTATTTTTTAAAGGATGTATTGAATGGACCAGCAATTCCAAGTCTACCGGCTCCTTTGGTACCGCAAAAGAGTACTACAAACATGTGAACACTGTCAGCAATTTGCAACAATTTTTAAAGTAATTCATGAAATTGTACATAGCACTGTCGGACGATCGATCAGTTTAGAGATAATTTGAAACTAAAGATAATAATTTGATGTTTTATATGTCCAGCGTTATGCGTTTCATTTTTTTGGGAATTATCACTGAGGAAGGCGTAAGGTGCTGCTTTAACTTTTCTCAGTTGAATTTTAAAAATTGGTTTACCCGTTTCTGCAAACAGTTGTTTTTTTTGCGATATGTGATAAGCTTTCATTAGTTTACTCACTTTTCTTTTGTTGCTTGTACCGTATTTTGTGACTAATTCTTTGTTTCCAACCTGTGATAATTTCTGTATCTAAGTGATAGCTTCTACTCTGCATATGTATATTGCTGACTGGGGCGTATTGGAAGTTGAAGTGAAATTATTTAACGCAGTTTAAATGTTCGTTTTTGATGAAGTATTATCTTCCTTCTCGCTTTCATACAGTTGTATATTTACTTTTACCGACTGTTTATTGGCTTACACCAGTTGGGTAGCTTCACTTTTTTGCTTGATAATTTTGTTTTACTGAAGTGAGGAACGGGAAGGGTTTTGTATCTTGAGACGTCAGCAGCATTAACCTGTGTAGTGAGAGGAGAAGGGAGTTTCTTTTGTCAAATGAGATTTTTTCAAGAAGTCAGTGACTTTTAGGCACCAGTTTATGGTAGTTTTATTAGGGATTGTTCTTAAATAAAGTTGTTGAGCTGTTACCGGGATTAGACGAGTAAGTAGCAAATTGGACTTCTGTGCGTATGTGGTGAACGGTTGTAGGTTACTGCTGGTTTAGGTGGTTCGTCAGTTGATCGTCTATTTTTTTTCCTTTGTTTTCCTAGTGTTTAGAAGGC